TATCTGGAGAATATTCCCTTAGACTGTCTTCCTGGCTCAAAACTATCATCGGTTGTTTATTCCTGGGAAGATAATGATGGAAAATATCCAATGAAGAATCATTCTTACCTAATCTCTCTCCTTCAGTTCCACGTTTTTGATATTTTCCATAGCCTCTTTGTCAATAGTTCCAAATTGTCAACAGCTTTCGCTCCTGTTTTCTTTCTTCTAAATATTCCCTTTGTGCAATGAAAACCTAAATTTCAAAATGTCTTGAAGTTTAAAACAGATACATAAAACATACATGATAAAAATAAAGGAAAATATCACAAAATTATTTACCAGAGAAGGGAAGATTATCAGAAGTAAATTTATATTTTTCAGTTACTTTAAATTTGGAAAATCAGGACATAAACTAGTTTAAATTGAATAAGGAAAAAAGAAAAACAAGCATAGAATTAACATTAACTTGTAAGAACAAGTGCAAATATTGCCCTATTTTAAGAAGATTCAAAAGTAAATTCAACATATAAAAAGTAGAAAGAAAGAAACAGTATTACTTATCTAAATAGAAATATTTTGATTTTAAAAATGCTACACTCATAGAAAGAGAAAATAACTCACTCAGAAGGAAATTCATAGAGAGTGCCGCCATTGAATATTACCCAAATATTAATCTACGCCCGGAATTTTTCCATATTTTACCTTTCTTAACAAAATTACTACTCTCAAAAACAAACGTATACAACAATATCGTGAAATAAAAAAAAATGCTTTAATCCGTCAACACAGCAATGATAAAAATATTTCCACGCGTGACAGTTATTGACCTAATTTTCAGTTACCAATATGAAAATAGCGTCCTCTAAATTCTTCCAGTTGCTAAGGACATTTTGTTTTTGTTATTATTAGTTACTTTGTTTAAATAAATTCATTTCGTTTTTTGCCTTGAAAAAGCCAACATTGGACGAAACGCGTCGACAACTATTAGTTTTCCTATTGTCATATATATATATATATATATATATATATATTAAGAAATGGACAAGGTCCGACAATTTATTATTAAAGATATTTTTATGTTTAACGTTGTTATTTATAGATACATATATATATATATATATATATATGAGAAATAGAACTTAAATTTTACTGCTGTCCTTGACTATGCGTTTCATGTCGATGTATGGAGGGTAATCTTCAGTCCGCAAAAGGTAAAGGCGTATAGTCGGTGGACATTACTGACATTTAAGTACTCTTTTTAAATTTTATATTTGCTTCGTATTTTTAGCTTTTATATTTTGTATTTATAGTGTCTCTGAACATTCCTTTTATTATAATATATATATAGATAGATATGCGTATATATATATATATAAGCGAATATTGAAGTCAACACTCAGATGTGTCAATGTTGACACCTTAAAACTATATGTCTTCATATATATATATATATATATATATATGTGTGTGTGTGTATACAGGGTGTCCATAAAGTTCGTGTGCACTTTAAAAATTCATAAATTTATTTGTATTTGCGATAGAAATAATTTGTAAAAAGGATTAGAAAGAAGTAAATCTATATTTTTTAAGGTTTTATTGAAATTTTATTTAAGTTTCCAAATGTCCTCCATTATTAGCAATACAAAGGGTATTACGATTTTACAGTTCACGGAAAACATTTGCCAACTGATTTACAGTAATGCCTGAAATCACAGTTATTTTAGCTTTCAAATCTTCTAATGAACTAGGTTTGGTTGCATACACAATTGTTTTCCCATGTCCCCATAAAAATCTAATGGAGTCAAATCTGGCGAACGTGGAGGCTAATAAAATGGTCCACCCCTTCCGATTCATCTGTTAGTTTAATTGTTCAAGCTGCGGAATAAAGTAATTCTGCAGCATATCTAAATAGATGCCACTGTTACTAACACGATATTGATCCGATTTATTCCCTAAGCAAACCACACATTAACTTTAAGAGAGTCCGTTTCATATTTAACAGTTTCATTTGGGTTTTCAGTTCCCCAAATTCGGCAATTATGCCTGTTGACCTTGCCATTAATGTGAAATGTTGCTTCTTCAGAGAACTGTAAACTACTCACAAATCCATCATCGTTGCCAAATTTTTCATTGAATTGATGACAGAAAGTTAGCCGTGCATAATAATCCTCTTTTAACAACTGTTGATGTAATTGAATTTTATAAGCTTTCATGTGACGTTTTGCCCGCAGAATCTTATGCACACTAGACTTTGGGAGTCTGAGCTCTAATGATGCACGTCTTACAGACTTTCTTGGACTTGCTGTAAAGGATTTTTCTATGGAGGCAACACTTTCGTCGCTGATACATGGCCTTCCAGACCGTGTCTTATCATGGACGGAGACTGTCTCTTTAAATTTTTTCATCCATTTAGCAAGAGTGTTCCTATGAAGTGGTTCTTTATTGTATTCAATTCTAAACTTTCTTTGTAAAGCAATAGTAGATTTCACTTCAGCCAACAAAAAGACACAGTTTACTTTTTTCTCAATTGAAGCCATGGATCAAATTGATTCTGGAAAAAAGAAAATATTTTTTACTTATCTGGTAAAGAATTATTCAATAACTATACTTAAAACGAGGTACATTAAACTTTATGACATTTTTTACAGATTATTTCTATCACAAATACAAATAAAGTTATAATATTTTTAAAGTGAACACGAACTTTATGGACACCATGTATGTGTGTGTGTGTGTGGGTGTGTGTGTGTGTTTATTTTCTAAGATAAAAAAAATAATTTATGCGCCAGATAAAAAAATAACGAAAATGAGAATATTTGCAGTTATTTGTTGAAAACTTCTGAAGAGTGCGCAAAACGATTAGAAAAAAGATTCTCAAGTCGAAGTTCTGAATATTACATCAATCCGCCTAATGGCAAACAGATAGATAGATAGACAGACAGACATACATACAGATAGATACATAGAGAAAAATACAGTTCTTACAGTTAGGTTGTCGAGCGAACATCATACCAACTGTTTCAAATGGGCCTCGGTGAGTTGAGCCTGATTTAGAATCTCTTCGTCACCGAAGCCCATTTGGAACAGTTGGTATGATATTCGCTCGACAACCTAACTGTAAGGGTTTCAATTCTCGGTAGTGGATGCGCACTGCTGATGAGTCCCAAATATAGGACGAAACGGCCGTCCAGTGCTTCCTGCATTCTGTGGAGGTTTCTATCAGACTCGATGAATTAATTAAATATAAATATATTTATATATATATATATATATATATATATATATATATATATATATAGAGAGAGAGAGAGAGAGAGAGAGATACAGAAAGAGGGAGAGATAGGAGAGAGAGAAAGGAGAGATTTGAACAACCTGAGATAGAAACAGATAAACCTATAGATAGATAGATAGATTGACAGTTTAAGAAATGGAGAACGCAAACTCATTATGAGATATGTTACAGTAAGTGTTAATATTAACACACACACACACACTATATATATATATATATATATATATATATCTGTGTGTGTACGTATCTATGGAGATAGATAGATAGATAGATAGCTTAAAAGAATAGTTTAAGATATGGAGTAAACAAATTCCCTAATATTACATAGGTGGTCGTAAGTGTTAACGTCACGTGGACCAAGGAATATTTAAGTGCTTCCCTTGAAACTAAGTAATGGAGTCCAGCCATCAATTTCCGTTTCAGCCATCAAATCTTCTTACCTCGATGGACATTTATTGATGCGTGCTAAAAACAAATATTTTGTGACATATATGCATACCTGCTTCAGGTTGAAAGAGTTTATATATGAGAATAACATCTGCTTTCCCCAGTGCATTTGTGTCCATGCGGCATTTTTATAAAATCACTTTCTAAATAACAGTGTAAAAATAAATATCGACTTATCTAAAGATTATCTCCCAAGCAACAAGTAGTTTTCACTTTAGATTTTTTCTACTTACCGCACCAAAATATGGAAACATTCAAGAGAATTATTTAAATAGTCATCTACATAATTGTAATGACAATGGTTATATTAGCCGTTTCCTTATAAGAAAACATTCGGCATCCATTGACCGAGCAGCCAATGCTACTCGTTAAGCTTTTCTTCACTCCCTGGCCATCGAGCTGGGATCAAAGTGTAGTATCTGTTCTCCATCTTAAAGGGAAATGGTAATATTAACCGTTTCCTTATAAGGAAACATTCGGCAACCATTGACCGAGCAACCAGTACTATTTGTCACGCTTTTCCTCACCCCCTGGACAATGATCATATTAGCTGTTTCCTTATAAGGAAACATTTGGCATTCATTGACAAAGCGGCCAGTACTGACGCCTGCTGAAATTTATAAAATCTTTCTTGTAAAACAATTTTTCGAATATCGTAGCTATTATCGCACTTCCTTGTATGAATTCGTGTTTTCTTCCGAATCTTTTAGCTGAAATAGTGGGGAAAGTTAAAATATTGTTTATATAATTTTTTCTCTTCCAGTTACATCTGCTATCAATTTTAGTTGTTGCCAATTCTTGTGTTCACAGTTCTCAAATTACGTGTTTTCTGTTATGTGATAGATACAGTTCATTTTTGTGATTCTGCAGCCCCAGTTCACAGGCTTCAGTCTCTCGAAGCCATTTTTAACAATTGATGTTAGAAAGTAGTCGTATACAGATGACAGTTTAGATATTTCTGAATAGTATTTACATTGTTCGGACTATCATCCTCATCTTTGTAGCCATATTTATCCTCATGGACAAATGGTACAGTGGATAAAGGCGTTAGTTAGAGTGTGAGTTCAATACTAAAATTTATTCAATTATCAACATTTTACAAATTGTTAAACTCTATATATACCTTGAGGACATATATCCATCTGGAGAAACACATGTCAGACTGTGCAAAACGATGTAACACAGAGTTATTCTGGCTGCAAAGACTGGTTCCTTATAAATAGGATGATTGTTGAAAATATTCACACAAATTCCAGTGTAGGCTCGATGGAATACAAAAATGGCTTCCCACGGTATTCTCCACACACGGATCATCAAGGCCGATGAATTGTATAAATTATCACCAACAAATGTGAATTTCTTACAAAATAATTGGCCATTCTGGAAGACAGATCTGTTAATCTCGCATTCAAATGTTGTACATTATTCACATTATTCGGATTATTGTCCTCATCTTTGTCGCCATATTTATTACAACGTTTCGGCCGTTGTACGCTCCGGCCTTCTTCAGGTGGTAGGAATAGATTTCGCGCGTAAGTAAATAAAAGAAATGCGATTAGAATAGGTACTCGGCTCTCCGATTTCAACCGTTTCAACATTTGCACATCCAAGCTTACAGCATCAGGTATTCTCAACTGGTTACTCAACAAGGTACTGACCAGGTACTACTTTGCTTAACTTCGGTGATAGCATGCAAACAGCTGTTTTTCTTCACTTATCAATATGTAGGGAAGCTATAACATCTCTTTCGTCTTTTTTTTTAAACTGAGAATGAATAATTCAGAATTCACCTTCCATTTGCCTAGAGTTTTTTTTTCATTTCTTATAATGTACGGTTAAAAGGCAACATATTTAGAATGTAACAAGTTAGCTTTGCTGGTAAGGCGTACAGAGTCTATAAAAATCGTTCTGGAAACCTCTATGTAACTTTGTAGAAACGTCATTTTGTTATCTGGAATGTCATGGCGTGAATTACTGACGTGGGAATAATTGGCTAGTGTAACGAGTTCGTTCCCCACTAGTTGCCCAAGTCTTGGAGTTGGTGCAGACTAAACTAACTAATGATTAACATGAAGCTCTCAGAGACCATTACGACTATAGTGAGTCCAGTTTTTCCGAAGTAAATCTTAATTTGGGACATTTTGCCAAACTAAGCAAAACGATGTTTTACTTCCATCTTGTTATTTTCTTTATATTAGTAATATTTGTCTAAACTTGTAAAAAATCATATCTTTTTTTTTATAATTTTTGTCCTTTTTTTTCATTCATTCCACATTTCCTTTCTACTTTGACCTCTCGTTTTCATTCTTTTATACTTTTTTCTTCCTTCTATTCATTTCTTTTCTTTTATTCTTTACCTAAGATTCTTTTCCTTCTTTCTCCGTTTCTTTGGCATTTTTTTTTCATAACTTTTTCTTTTCTTTCTTTCTCTTTCCTTCTGTAATCCAATTCTTATCACTTTCTTTTCATATATTTCCTTTCTCTTACTTATACTTCCCTTCCGCCCTCTTTTTGATTTATCCATTCTTTCTTTCTTTCTTTCTTTCTTTCTTATTTTCTTTCTTTCTTATTTTCTTTCTTTCTTTCTTTCTTTCTTTCTTTCTTTCTTTCTTTCTTTCTTTCTACAGCAATCCGACTTTTCTTTTCTTACTATCTTTTTGAAAAAGTCTACTCAAAACTTCTTTTCATCGCTTTTCATTCCTTATCTCTCATCTTCTTTTCCTTGTCATATTTTCTTTCTTTATGTTTCTTTCTTTTTTCTTTTTTCTTTCATTGATTCATCCATTTCTTTTTTTTCCCCTTGTTCAGTTTTCTTTCTTTTTTCATTCTTTTTTCTTTTGTCTTTCTTCTTTCTTTATTTTACTTATGTTCACCATTTCTTTTCATTTTTACTTAATTTTTCATTTCTTTCTTTCTTTTCCTTTCTTTCTTTCTTTTTCTTTCTTTCTTTCTTTTTCTTCCTTTCTTTCTATTTTATTTCTTCTATCATTTTTAAAAATCTAGTCAAAAATTTTTCTTTCATTGAATCGTCCATTTCTTTATTTTCCTTCTTCCGTTTTCTTTCTCTCTTCCTTTCTTTCTTACGGTCACCCTTCCTTTGCTTGTTACTTAATTTTTCCTTTTTTTCTTTCTATCTTTTTTCTTTCTGTCTTTCTTTCTTATGTTCACCCTCCTCTTTGTATTTTTTAATTCTTTTTTCTTTCTTTCTTTGCTAATTCAATTTTTCTCGCTTTATGCGTTTCTATCTTTTTAGATGAACCATTCAAAAATGATTTTCTGTTATTTGTCCAAATTTCCACTCTCATATTTTACATTTGATGTATTTCCCCTTGTATTTATGAAAGTACATCACATAAAAATCTCGAAATTATCGGCCTAGATTCAAAACAAGGCAAACAAAACCTTCAAAAGTTTATGTATTTTTGATCTATGAGTCTGGCTTTTTGTAACCTGTCATTCCATGTTGGAAATCAAAAAAAAGAAAAAGAAAAAATTAAATTTAAAATACCAAAATGAAATTAAATATATACAGAGTAAACACAATCAGGTTGATACAGACACAGACAACAAAAAACTCAAAAACAGACACACACACCGCAGCTGATATACGCAGAAAGAGCAGACTAACACATTTGGAAACACACAAAAACGCATACAAGCAAAAGTTTACACAATGATATACGCAATCAGTAATTTACATACGCACACACAGAGAAAAATAGTGACGCACAGAAAAATACGAAGTTGTATGAACAGACTCACACAACAAACACAGGCATCCAAAACCACAAATACACACACGTAAACGTAGAAACACGCGGACAACATACAGAGAGATAAAGGTTTACGCGCAGACGTATCCATACACAGGCACACATACACATACAAACACATTGCCTGCAATTTTTTTAATTCTTTTTTGTCATTTCTTTCAAACTACATAAGACGCCATGTTTGTATCCTATCAATGGCGACACATTTTCAATAAAAAAGATATAAAATACGCTTCTTTACGTCAAATACCAGAAGAAAAGAAGTGAACAAACGAATGCAAGGAAGATTTGATCTATCTATTAATTTGCTATGAAATCAATTATTGGCGATTATTGATTTTAAATTGTCTGGTTAGTTTTCGGAGGTAGTACGAACAAAAACACTGGTTTCTTCAAGTGATTTCAATACTTGACTTGATTTGACTGCGACGTTAACTCAATTTCTTTCGCGAGATTTCAGATAAGTAATTGAAACATTGTGATTTGCTTAAATGCAAGCAACAATGAGACAAGAATTTGTAATTTCCGATTTCCAGTGTTTAACCTTTAAAAATGTCAGGCAACTGTTGTATTTTTAAATTGTCCACGTGTGCAGAATTGACCTTTTATAACAACACTAAGCAAGCTGGTTAATAAGGAATTTTGAAGTTATTTGAAGTAAGTACATTCAAAATAAAATATTTAGCAGCATAAAAAAACAGTTATTTTATTTAATATTTAAAATAAATCTTTGCCAATTTCACTGTTTTATATCCATTTCACTAATCTAGCAAACAGATTTTAAGCTTTTAGGAAAAAAATGAAAATAAAGTTAAATATGTATTTAAAATAAATTTAGAAATAGAAATCCCAGATGATCAATTCAATAATTTCGTCCACAAATTCTAAAGATACCTTCGACATTTAACTGGATGCATATTGACGCATAATTTCTTTTGGGGCCAGTGATCGAGTCCCAATAATGGCAAGGATTTTAAGTATTGATAAACAAAACAGGTAAACTCTACTGCATCATAGATTGGCGCAACAATATCTTCTTAATATTGCTTAATAAATTTGCTTAATAAATTTGAGTTTTAAAAAACTTACTCACACACACATACACACGCACACACACACAAACAGACACACACATACACGCACACACACACACACATATATATATATATATATATATATATGCATTTTTCATTATAAACGATATATATTAACTACAAATAAGGCCACAATGTGCTAACCGTATTCGGAAATTAAAACATCCCTACCACACACTAAAACATACACATAATGCACACACTCAATTAAGCTGAAAAATCAAATCATCCTTGATAATGGCTAATGGATATATATATATATATATATATATATATATATATATATATATATATATTCAATTTAACCTATATTTACATCTGTATTGATTACTGGAGGTGTATTTATACCTTCTGAAAAGAATCCTACAGTTTCCTGATTGAATTATTCATTCCACTGAGACCGAAAGTAGGCTCCCAGACAAAGTAAAAATGACTGTCAACTTGTGGTTATTGTGGATAATATCGTGTCTTCGTATGAATAATGTTAAAAATAGGTGTTTTATCATTTTCTGTATAACACGATCACAATATTCCTTTTGAACGAACGCTTTCAAAATGTAATTGTCTGTCAAATTTTATCGCAGTCTTATCAATACTTTTGCTGTTTATACGATATATATACAACATATATCAAATCATACTCTAAGTAATGCCCATTGTCTGATAATGACAGCGTGATGATTTTCATTATTCTAAAATGTGTAAATAATAACAACAAACGCATATATATATTAAGACATTTTTATGTTTATACTTTCTATTTATGCATACAAATATTTAAGTAGATGTTCTGTTTTATAATAAACAGTATTAAACAACATTTATCGGCCGGAATGTCGGAGAAATTTTCATAGAAAATATTCGTCTTCCTACGGGAATCGAACCTGTATCCTATACGGAACCGTCATATAGCCTGACGTGCCTTTATCCGATTTGGCCAGAGAGGAGCGTTCGGTTAACAAGGTCGATTTTACTGTCTTAAAACTACAATCTTCCATGAATCTCTCACGTACATTCATATCTGCTCACTGCGTATCCAAATGTAAACAAATGACGTCACACATTATGAACATTTCTCGGACATTCAAGCCGGTAAATGTTGTTTAATACTGTTTATTATAAAACAGAGTATCTACTTAAATATTTGTATCTATAAAAAGAATGTATAAACATAAAAATGTCTTAAAATAATTGTTGAACTTTGTTCATTTCACACACACACACACACACACACACACACACACACACACACACACACACACACACACACATATATATATATATATATATATATATATATATATATATATATATGGTCCCGGAATGGCTCCTACTGCTATTATGTATCCTCTTCTTCTCCCCCACCAGCTATGGGGAAATAGCGGGACAGACCGGATTTTATAGCCTTGGATTATAACTAGTCTATAACAGAAAGAAATGGCAACCTACTGCGGGAAAAATCTGCCTCGTCAGTCTTGTATCGAAAGATACTTGATCGCCTAAGGGTTTATCACACATGGCATATAATTGACAGACTGACTTCAAGTATGAATTTTGTATAGAGAAAAACGTCCAAACTCTTTCTGCCGCGCGACGGTGGCCTAGGGGTAAGATATCTGACTGATGTCAAAGCGGACCTCTAGCCACACTGAGGAGCTGTGATACAGCGAAAAGGTCTGTCTGTGAATGACTGTATATATGATCCCGGAACTCCGGTTAAGCTCTCTAGGGAAAGGGGGTTTTGAAAAACAGCGGCTCCTACTGCTATTAAGCATTACTCTTCATGTAAATTGAATTGAGTTCTCCGAGTCGCTGGCGTATTTCGTTTAGTGAAAAACGTTAAAATTCCTTTTTCTTTCTACCGTGTGACGAATGTCTAGAAGTAAGATATCTGGCTGATGTTGAATCAGTCGGGTTTCGATTTCCGACTTGAAGCAATCCGACGTCTAGCCAAAGTGAGGATCTGTGATACAGAGAAACATTCCGTCTTTGGATGACTATATATATATATATATATATATATATATATATATATATATATATATGCTTGTTCGTATTTTTAGAGTTTTCAAAATAATTTTGAAATTACCATCCCAATATACTAGTTACTAACTTGAACAACAGTAGAGCATATAATATATGTATATGTAGGTAACAATTAAGCAAAATTTATTCAGAAATAATTTGAAGGATAATTTCTTTAAACTTTGATCTAATTTTGAGTCTTTTAAAAAATTTCCTAAATTGGCTTGAAACTTAAAAAAAGGATTACTTCAGCTTGTTCTGTTAAGTTTGTTGAAGAAACGTGTTTACTTAATCTCGTCATAAAAACAATTCTAGAATTGAAAAATTAAGTAAAAAAAAATAATCAAACCATCAAAGATTCCCATCATCAACATCATCATCAACATCATCATCATCATCGATACAATGACGAGTGTGGTCGTAGTGCCGATATGCAACTGAGCACCTGAACAGTTCACTTTATATATTTGGTTTGATATATATATATATATATATATATATATATATTAAAAAGAAGAGGGGTGCCGCAAACGTTTTTGTTTGTAATGTGGATTTATTGAGAAAAAATATTATACTTTGTTTTACATAATTTCACGACACGTGTTTCTGGTCTGGTCTCAAAAACCGTCTTCAGGTGAAAGTGGAGATTTTTACATATTATTAAAAATAATTAATTTTTCTTCATGTTCAATGTGGAATATTCTCGATATGAGACATTCTGTTTGTGTGTTGGCAATCCGAATTTTCTTTCTAGAATTGTCAATGAAAGAGTTCTGCGTGAAGGGTCATAAAACAATTAAGGTTTGTCCAACGAGTAGTTATCGGCATTTAATCTTTTAATGTTTTAGTGACCTCTATGTGCTCTTGGATCTGTTTCTATTTTGGCGTGTTCCTGTCAGCATGCGTGTATATATGTGTGCGTGTGTGTGTGTGTGCGTGTGTATGTATGTGTGTGTGTGTATGTGTGTGTACTGGTTCCATGTAGCTTGGGAAATATGTGTGTATAAGTGTGTGTGTACTGACTACTTGTGGTGGGATAGTGTGTATGTGTATGTGTGTGTATGCGTGTATAAGTACAAATAAGTTTACGAATTCCTCGTAGTAAGGAAATATACGCACACATATATACACGCATGCTGACAGGAACACGCCAAAATAGAAACAGATCCAAGAGCACATAGAGGTCACTAAAACATTAAAAGATTAAATGCCGATAACTACTCGCTGGACAAACCTTAATTGTTTTATGACCCTTCACGCAGAACTCTTCATTGACAATTCTAGAAAGAAAATTCGGATTGCCAACACACAAAAACAGAATGT